TGAGATAATATGTGGTGACAGCTCAGCTAAATGCCTGGTTCCCAGCAGGGGCTTGCAAAGCATTGGGTGTCGTTACTTCTGTATTGTCGGGAGCTGTGGACAGTTTTGAGCTGAGGAATAGTTTTCTTTCAACATCTGGCTCAAGAGAGTAGCTCCCGGCTTGGCGCCCATAGCACAGTAGTTGTGGGTTCAAACCCGGCCTGGGCCAGCTAAACAACTGCAACAAAAAATAGCTGAGTGTCGTGGTGGGCACCTGTAGTCCCAGCTACTTGGGAGGTTGAAGCAAGAGAATCACTTAAGCCCAAGAGTTTGAGGTTGCTGTGAGCTGTAACACCATAGCACTCTACCCAGGACAACATGGTGAGATTCTGTCTCAAAAAAAAAAGAGTAGCTCCCCAAGCACCTTTCAGACTAAGGTAAGCCAGGAATCCCTTCTGTGTCTAGATTCCTATAACTGGGTCCTATATGTTAGTCCCAAAGGGCAATTTCCATCCTTCTCCCTCATAAATATTATATGCAAGTATTTTTAAGTCATTTCTTCATGAAAAGAAGCGATTTAACATAACTATTACCCAGGATTCTTCATGAAATATGCATCAAGCAATTAGGTCTAAAAGCGAGAGGTGAGGCCTTGCACCCTGCTCCGCGGCCGGCAGCTGCAGGCTGAGTAATGTTTTATTAAAGCCCATGATTACGAGGCGAGGTGGGGCCTGTTATTAGGTCTGGCGCGCCAGGCACGTTTGATAATCCTGATGATGAGGAGGTGCTTTTTGTGATGATAATGAGCAATCTGAACACCCATGACAGCTTCAGCACCCCTGGCCTCCGCCAGCCTCACAAGACTCATTAGACAGGTCACCCACCCGAGACACCCCTCATTGTGACTTTGCTCTCACATGATGTCCTATTAAAGCAGACGGAGCTGATGGAAAAGGGAGAGATGGAGAGAGAGGCCGCCCTGGCAGGACGCACCCTGTTGCAGCTCCCCGGGGTGATGCACCCCAGAATGAGGGGGCCTGTGCTACCCAGGGTAGGGTGGCCCTGAGTCGGGCTCACCTGCCATGCTGTGTGCCTCATCCAGGGCGGGGTGCCTTCTGGCCTCGGTTTTCCCCAGGGTGGGTGCCCCAAGGGATTGATTGAGAGGAGATGACCTCCAGGCTGCTTCGGGCTTTGAGCTGCAGCACCTCTGTGCACACTCCTTACCTGCCGAAGCCTCTGTTCCCCACAGAGCTTTTCTTTTTTCTCCTTCTCATGCTGGTATCTCCTTTCACACAGAGGTAGGAGGCATTGAAGCTACCCTGGTGCCATTTTTAAATCTTCACCTGTGGTTTGGTGACGTCTTACTCCTGGGGACCTTGTAGCCAATCAGGACATACTGTTCACACAGGTCCCAGGAGTGTGTTCAGACAAGGCATCGCCAGACCTTTGCAGTGGTCAAGGATGGGCGAATAGTCTCTCAGGCCCCTTGTGGTAAGGTCACCACACTGCCTCCCAGCCGGGGGCTCTGCCAGCCAGAATGACCTGTTCTTGGCCTTTTGAAGGGCCCCTTGTACGTGTGCCAAATGTGGCCTTCAAGTCCAGCCCCTCTGCTGTTCCTGACTGCCATCAACCCTGTGCAGTGGGCACTGTTGAGGACAGAGGCTCACTGTGGAGTCCACATTTGCTCAGGGTCCAACGTCTCTCACCCACCACCCTGCCTGGCCTCACAGGGAGTGCTCAGAGTTGAGTGGGGCCCTCTCTTGGGTCTGGGAGTGCTGAGCTCAGGAGCACTGCTCTGGGCACCTATTGCTACTAGTTGCTATGTGACTTTGGGCCAGTTACCTCCCCTATGTGCACTTCACGCTTAAGGGGCCTGGCACACAGGAAGTGCCCTGGAAGCCCTACCCTCACAGGCAGTCCTGGCTGATGCCCCAGTGAGAGCAAGACTGGGGATCGTGGCATCAGTGGAGGGAGGATGTGAAGCTGCCTCCAGACCCCTTCCTACAGGAAGCCCTTGGGGGTAGGCAGCAGATTATATGTGAGGAATCCAGGATTCAGGGCTAGGAGCCATCAGAGGCCATCTAGTTAGCCTCCCTTGGATCCAGTGAGGATAGGGACAGAGCAAGGCACAAGGATGGGCTGAGGGCCTGGGAATCAAAGGGTGCATGCCGTGCCTGAGGCCAGGAGCTCAGCATGTGGCCACACTGTGGGCATTCGTGGGATCCTGGGGCTAGTCCCAGCTCCCCCAGTTTCTGAGCTTCACGAGCAGACTGCTACATGGGCACAGCCTGGTTCAGGATGGTAAGCTAATGGATGCTTAAATGGGTGAAGTGGAAGTGTGTTCATGGAATAAATAGCAGGCCCAGGGAGTCAGGAAGGCTTCACAGAGGTGTCTGCCACCTGCCTTCCTTGCTATCTGTCAGCAGGCAAGTTGGAGATGTGAGACCAGGGTGGCTCAGCTCCTCCCTCCTGCTCCGTCAGAGCACTGCCACCATCACTGCCCTCTGCCCTTGCTGGATGGGTGGTAAAAGAACAAACCAGTGTGAAAATGTCATGCTATCCCTTATTACTCGCTTTCCTAAGCTCTTGAATGTGAAATCGCTGGCCTGTGCTTTGTACCCGCAAAGCCATGGCAGTCACACGCACCCTGCCTACAGCTGTGACTCATCTCAGGCTCCCCTACTTTGTGACCCAGCCATAGATGTGTGCGAATCACAACACCCAGTGGTCTGGCCCCTACAACATCACCCTACTCAGCATGCACAGGGGGAAACAACGTGTCAAGGTCACACCCTCCTCCCTGCCTGGGCATCTCTTGACTTCTTAGTGCACACGCCCCCTTTTCCAGGCACCGCTGAGCATACAGCCTCGGAGAGCTTAGAGCTTTTTAACTCTCTCTTCTGTTCGTTGCTTCACTTAAGCGGTAGGTCCTTTCCAAGCTGGCCCGGAGTCCTGGCCTTTTGGGCCTGGTGGGTGGGTGAGTCTTCGCTCTCACGGGATTGTGCGTTTTTCATCTATAACACAGACCACTTCCTTCCCACCGGCCTCAGCATGCGCGCCGCCTGCCGCTTAGCCGTGGTGAGGCAATTCTCCAGTGAAGTGACCCTTCACTGAGGAGCAGAGCTTGCCACAGGCTCTGTAATTAGAACATTTCCAGCCTTTAAAAATCTTGATTTAAATTTCAATTCTTTACAGGAATTATTCTCTTGAAATGTAATTGCTCTCCCAAAGATTTCCGTTAAGACGAGGGTGACATCTCTAAGTATATTATTACAAGCAGATGAATTGCTCAGTGCCCGCACTTTATTAAGCATTCGTTCTGCCCATTTGAAAATGGTCTAGGAGCCCCAATTCAGGTATTTATAATAGAATGGGTGCCAGGGGGCCTGGGGAGTCCAGTCATGAATGGAAAAGATGCGTCTAAGCCCTCCAGTGCCCCTTGGGAACAGCGGAAGCCAGAAGAGGAGCTTGAGCAGAAGGGCTACTCTGTGTCCATGCAGAGTCTGGTGGGGTTGGGGAGGGACCGCCAGGAGGATGGTGGCAAGAGGTTAGTCAGAAACACCAGCTTTCTGAGTGGCAGACCCTTGGTCAGTTGGACTGTGCTTTGGAAATGCTAGCAGGGGTGCCCAACCTGTGGCTGTGTGCTGCACACTGATTATTTGAGGACTGATCTGCTTATCAGTGGTGTCAGATATCATGAAAAGTATGCACAGGCTTTTTTTTCTTCTTCTCAGTAGCTTTCATTAGTGTTTATGTATTTAACTGTGTGTCCCAAGACAATTCTTAGCTTTCCAATGTGCCCCAGAGAAGAAAAAAGGTTGGACGCCCCCACCTAAAGCATCTGTAGATGAGGTGGCAGAATCATAATGGAATCATAAAAGGCCAGTCATGGGGCTGAGTGGGCAGAGAAAGAGCAGTGGGACAAAGAACAGACTGATGGGGGAGTGAGTGACCCATTGTGGCCAGAGCTCTGGGCAAGAACTGGGAGAGATCTGCTGGGGCCAAGCAAATACTGGCAGGAGGACCACGGTATCCACTGTCTATAAGCTGATGCAGGGCAGGCTGCAAGGGCTGTGGAGCACACAGGCCCTGCTGCGATCTCAGAGGGATGCACCCATTGCCTTCCCTTCAGCAGACGCAGCATGTCGTTCACTCCCCCGCATATCTGAAGCCAGGGGTGGTGGCCAGAGGCTGGCCCCTGCTCCGTGGCACTCCTGGAAAGGCCTGAGTCTCTGTGGTACAGTCATGTGAAGGAAGGAGCTCTGCTCAGCAGACAAGCATAGGCTGGGCCTTGGGATGTGGGGTATACTCAGAGAGAAGGCAGAGGGGGGATACCAACCAGAGGCAGGCTGAGAAAGAGCACTTCTGCTCATATTCCATTGGCTAAAACTAGTCACATGGCTACTGGTGCAGGGGAGACTGGGAGATGTAGTTTCTCACTGGGTGGCCCCTTCCCAGTGAATTTCCTACTCCCCCACCACCCTGTTTCCTCATCTATTCATTGAGGGTGATGTCCCCTTGCCTGGCCCCTTCATCTTGGCACTGGGGACATGACACACTTTGCATCTTCCAGACAAGGCTTAAACAGTTATCCTGTAACAGAAAGAGGGGTTAAGTTTTGTTTTGCTTTGTTTTTTTCCCTGAAGAAGCCCCAGGAAGCTATGTGGGAAGACTGGCCTATGGCAATGGCTACTGCTGGTTCCTAATAGGATGCTGGAATTGGGCATGCTCTTGGGTACAGCTGCATTTCAGCTGGGCCTGGGTCCTGGCTTGGAGAGGTGCATCTCACAGCACCTTAGAGGCCAGGATCCCTTCTGTCCCAGCAGCAGGGGAGTCCTTGCACCCTGGTGCAGCCTGGTGCCAGAGGGATAGTTCAGAGGGGAATGGGTATGAACACAGGACACACCGTGCTCAGAGCAGGCTCGAGTGCCTTTCTGACAAAGTGCTCCCTGTTCCTCAGGCCCAGCAACACACAGCCCTGGCCTTCACTGTTCTGCATATCCTAACAACCTCTGTGTTTTGTTCACAGGAGCAACCAGGGTTTTATGCACATGAAACTGGCCAAAACCAAAGAGAAATACATTCTGGGTCAGAACAGCCCCCCGTTCGACAGTGTCCCGGAAGTCATCCACTACTACACCACCAGAAAGCTGCCCATCAAGGGAGCGGAGCACTTGTCCCTCCTCTACCCTGTGGCTGTGCGGACCCTGTGAGTGGCTGGCCCCGCCCTGCTTTATGGCAGAGCCTGAAGAATCTGAGGTCCCTACCAACCAGCCCGGCCACCAGGCTGTGTCCAGTTTATGTCGTGTGTATGGTACTAGCACACCACTGCATGTCTCTAGAATGCTGTCACCACTTATGGGGGCTGGAGAAAGCCTGGACAAAGACAGAAGGACAGCCAGCACACCATCCCGGCCCCCACCCACCCTTCCTTGAGTTTCTGTGAATTAAAATATTTGCAAATCCAAAGAGATGCCTCCCAGGATGAACAGAGGCAGAGCAGTTCCCAGGGTGCGCAGGCCGGACTCCCTGGGTCGCATCTCTTTGTTCTCCAGCTGTCACGAATTCACACCTGTGTACGGGGTGAAGTTATCCCTATGGGCCCACTGGTGCTGGGAGCCACGTGCTGGCTTTTTTGAGAGCCCAGGGGGCTCCAGGGGCCTGCCCCCACTGAGAGAATGTGTATGTGTGTGTCTGTCCGTCTGTCTGGCGTGAGTGTGTGTGAGAACCAGATCACACACACAGGAGGAAGCCCACTGAAATACTTATTCACTCAGTGTAATCATTAGGAGATCTTCAAGGAATCATTGTGCAGTCCAAAAGAGGATTCAATTATTTATGACTAGGGTGTGTAAATAAAATAGTCGTTTAATATATAGTCTTAGCCCCTTTTTAATATACCACAGAGGGTCTCCAAGGGCAGTGCTCGCCTGCTGGTTTCATCCCCAGAGGAAGGTACGTCTCCTTGCTGGCTGCTGTGATAGGCCTGAGGAGGGGTGGGGAGCTGGGGCCTTTAGCAGCCTCTGGACAGTAGGGCATCTGCCCCAGGGGCTGAGATGACCAGAGGGGTTTTCTGTGCCCCCCCGGGGAGTCAGCCTGCAGGAAAGTACTCCCAGACTCTGCACTCAGGCTCCAGCAGCGGGTACAGTCGGGAGCCTTGGTGCTGAGGAACAACCAGGCTTTCCCGCCTGCCAGTGGCACACAGCACCCAGCAGTCTCCATAGGCCGCCCTCACATTCTTTGGTTGGTGCCATCCATGAGGTATTTCACGGGAAAAGGGAGACTTAGGGAGTGATTTGCCTGATGTCACACAGCTGACAAGCAGCAGAGCTGGCTCCACAGCCAGTGCTCTTTCATCAGGTCCACAGGGCCTTGCTGTTACTCTGCTCATGGAGAAGGCAGACTCCTGACTTCTGGGTCACTGCCACTGCTTCCGCCTGGATAATAGCTCCACACACGCAACCTGCCCCTGCTCTTCCCACATATCCAGGTAGACTTGGTATAGCTGAGTCCCAGTTCTGCCTCTCCCGCCCACCCAGCAGCGGCCCGGCTGCCAAGAAAGGCGCAGGGAGCCTCTGCCAAGTGCGTGACATCCGGCCTGCCCAGCTGGCCTGAGTGGACTGGAAGTTTGGGGACTGTACCCCTGGTACCCATGGCAGGGCGTGAGGGGCTGAGCTTGC